CGCCGCGTATATTCTAGCCCACAACATTACTTAATTTTATTTATAATATGTTATTATTTTATAATTAGTTTTATTCTCTTATAAAACTACTAATAGCAAAGTCTTCCTTTGATGAATCAAAGGTTGCTCGTTTGATTTAAAGGGTGATCCATCAAATATGCTATATTTGCTTAAAAAATTTTAATAGATTTTCGAGAAAAAAAAAAAGTCATCCCAAACAAAGGCTAAGACTTTTTTTAGACAGTATTTTTATTATTTTTTAAAACAACATTTTAATTCAATAAGTTTTTAAAGTTATTTTTTAATTAAAAAGTTAAAAAATAGTATGAAAAATGTCCCAAAATAAAACCCAACTTTTGTTATTTTAAAGGATGTGCGATCCTTTCATTTTAACAGTATATTTTTTTATCATATATTTGTTAATTTATAATCAATATAATCTAAGCATGGCACTCAAATTTCTCAAGAAAATAAATATAATGCATTTACTTTAAATTTGTTAGATAATAATTAGCGACAACATCAAATTTTTATTTCACTAGGTGAGTCTGCTACATGAATCCCTTTCTCTATTATGTCCTTTTAAGAATCAAATTTTTATTTAAATTTAAAAAATAAGACATTTTTAAATCTTTCTAATATAACAAAAAATCAACATTTAAATCTGATAAACAAAAATCATTTCTAAAACTTTCAAACATAATAATCAACAAAATTTAAAAAATATATCTAAAAAAATTAATCATGTTAAATAATTATGACAAATATAAGTATACTAAGTTACAAAATTCATTTAATAAACATATAATATAATACATATTTTAAATTTCTAAGAGAATAACTAAAATTATTAAAAAAAAAAAGTTTTTTTTAGAAATATTCAAAAACATCTTATAAATCATTATGAAAAGCCTGAAATTAAAAAAAAATATGCAGGCTATTCCCTTCCAAGCAATTGCATGTTAAAGATCAAAGCAAGAATAATAAACATTGTAAAGATTAAATCATAATAGTTGCAGTCATATAATCATTGAATAAGTGCAATAATAATAAAACTTTTTTTTGGAAAATAATAATAATAATAAAACTCAAATACGGTAAAAGTAGAAAATGTAAACAGTAAAACACTACAGTAAAACAGTAAATAAGTACGAGTGTCAAATCAATAAAACAATCGTCATATCCATAATACTAATCAATATAAAAATCATATAAAATATCAAATCAAAACATCGGTAAAGACTATCAAAATCAAATCAATGCAGTAAAATCATATAAGAATATACACATACTATTTAGGCCTCTTATATCACGTGCTCAATATATCACATGCTTAGCATAAGTACATTTCAACGTATCATAACACTATGTTAAATGCCATAGAACTCAGTACATTTTATTTTTGTCAATTAACTTAAGAAGAAACAAAGTGTTTACAAAATAATATTAGGCCATTGGGGGCCTAAGCTCATGATCTTTAGAGACATCTCGAGCAGAAGGTGGCAAAAATTGCCACATAGGAATTGCTCCATAGTTAGGAAAAGTCATCATCTTATTTGCAACAGGATGGTAAGCAACTGGATGTGGTGGCATATATCCAGCAGCAAACATAGGCATGGTCCTAAAATACCCCTCTATTCTCTCTTTCTCTGCTTTCAAAAGAGATTTTTCTTCTTTCAGTTCATTTTTCTCCTCCTGCAGTTCAAACTAGCTTTTACTACAACACAAAGAACACAATAGCAGAGAATACATAGAGAATATTACAATATTGAAACATTAAGGGGATATTTGGCTACAAGTAGGATTTAGGAGGTTATGAAAATTTGGACTAATGCTTTGTTTGGGACGGTTTTTTTATTGCTTCTTAAAACAGCTTTCTAGTTTAAAAATTAAAATTTTTATACCATAAAGCTGCTTTAAGCAGAAAGATAGTTGTCCCAAACGAAGCCTTAGTGAAGTCGGAGGTGCTAAATTCTGAAAATTATTTAGCATGAAAGTGGTTATATAAAGCTAAATCTTGACAAACTATTTTACTGTTATTCAGTATTTGTAAATAAATATAAATTTAACAAAAATTTAGCAATTCTGTTGAGTTGTTAGTAATAATGACATCATTAATAATTTCAAATAATTTATGTGAATTATTTAGTTTTTAATTATCATTAATAAAAAAAATTGAAATAAATTAACTTATAATCATTCTCTACAGTTCTGAGAAATGTTGGTGATGCTACTGTCCCAAGAATCAATAGCTATTGAAGGATTTCATCAAGAATAGTGACAGAGGCCTATCTCACCATCTCGCCATGGAAGATAAATATTATATGATAAGGAATAAATGAATAGTGACAGGCATATCTTACCTTCAATGTTGCAATCTCTTCCTCAAGTTTTTTATTCTTTTTCGTGAGCTCCAGAGCTTCTGCTCTCAGTTCACTCAGGATACGAATGGTATCATCCAATATAGCAAACTTGTCACTCTTAGCAGGCCTTCCAGCTTCTAGGAGTTTGCTCAATTCTAGGAACCTATACAAAATCAAATACTTGTATGGTTTTAGATTGAAATTAAATATATTAAAGGTAACTATAATATAAAAAGTTAACCACAGAGAGAAATCGTTGGTAAATGTAGATACCCTGACGGTGTCCGGAGACCAACCAGAATGTGTCATGTCACTTTTTTGTTCGACACCGCTGTATACCGGGTGACGTGGCGCATTCTGGTTGGTCTCTGAACTGTATGGTGTCCGCACCGAATAATTTCTCCAAATTTTGAGAGCAAATGAGATCCCGCACCTCTCACCCTCATGAAGTACACAAACACACCAACCCTAATATCGGAAACATGTATACTTCGCCCTTATTTATAGCTGCATCTGGTGTTTGTTCTAAGAGAGAGAACCATTCTGAACAGCTTTAAATAAGCTCCCTTTGGATTGCCAAACTTCTCCATATCTCCTTATATTTAACTCTATTGTTTTCTCACCTAGTAAAACTTTTGCTCTTTATGTAGTACACCAAGCATTCTTGAATACCGAATTTAACAATTTAGAACAGCCATAAAAAGAATGTACTTAATTTTGATCCTTGCTATAACCTTACAATGCATCCTTCATCTACTCTTCATGTCTATAATAATATCTATATGAATCTAATATGCCTTTGATAATTGCATTTTCTACTGAATATCGTCCTAGAGCTAAGATGAGAAAGAAGTAACAGATCAGAGCAAAATGCAACCCGGTATAATCTAACACCTTGCCAGACAAAAAGCATCATGCCACCAAGACCGAAATAGAGCTGGCAAAAAGAAACCATCATTGGTCGGGACCACACCAATGATCAATACTCTTCTGCTAAATATTCCATCATACCAAGAGCCTTGAACATATCTGAAGAATTGATTTGTTCATGAGGAACCCAATGTTATGTGGGAAAAAGTAGTTGGTGAGATTAAAAATGTTGTAAATTATTTGATTGGAGAATCAAAAGAAAAAGCTCAAAATAATAAAAATAATTGATGGTGAAATCAAAATGTGTAAGAAAAGATAAAAAATAAGAAATTTTATCATAAAAATTACTTTAGATTTAAACTATGAAAAATTCGGATACATATAAAGAGAGGCCCATAAGTAGTTTAAGAAAGCAATATGTAATAATAAGAATTTAGTTTTTAATGATTTATATAATAAAATAGATACTAAAGAGGGCGAAAGATGTATTTATAAATTAGCCAAGCAAAGAGATAAGACAAGTCAAGATTTAGTTCAAGTGAAATACATTAAGGATAAAGATCAAAAAATATTTTCTTAGAAAGGGATGTTCAACATAGATGGAAGAGATTTTTCGATAATTTTTTCAATAAAGGCTGTGAAAATACAATCGACTTCAATGACATCAACATCCTAAATGAAAATAGATTTTTTTTTTTTTTCGTTGTAGTAGTAAAACTGAAGTTTGAGAAGTTAAAAAAAAAAGTGTGAGAAAACAACATAACCTAAATGATATTCAAATAGAAGTGTGAAAATGCTTAGTAGATCAAAGAATTTCTTATTGTACTAAACTTTTTAATATTATTTTTAAGACTAACAAGATGCCATATGAGTCGAGAAAGAGTGCGTTGATTTTTAATTTAAAGAATAACGGATGCACAAGAGTGTGTGAATCATAGAAAAATTAACCTTATGCGTCATACATTAAATTATGTGAGAGAGTAATTGAGTATAGGTTACGACATGAAACTAATGTTTCTCAAAATCAATTTAGATTAATGTCAGGTAGGTCCATATTGGAAGTCATACCTTCAAAGGTTTTCGTTTGACTAGTTCTTAAGCCAAATACATGAAGTATAATTTTATAAACAGAATATCAAGCAATGGGATTGTGATATTGGGTAATCAAGTCATTAAAAAGAGTGCATGTTTTACATATCTCGGGTCTATTGTTCAAAAGCGATAATCAAATAGATGGGGATATTATTAGTAGAATTCAAGTTGGATGATTGAAGTGAAAGAATGCATTAGGTATATTTTGTGATAAAAAAATACCACTCAAACTTAAAGAAAAATTTTATAGAATGGTGGGGAGACCTGCAATGTTGCATGGTGCAGAATATTGGGTATTAAAAGAGAAATAGGAAATTAAATTAACTTTACAAAGATGAAGAAGCTCAAGTGGACAAGTGACTTTAAACTTAGAGATAGAATGTGAAATGAGTATATATGTGAAAATCATGGAATAGCTCCAATTGATGATAAGATCAGAGAGAGACGTTTTAAGTGGTTTGGTCACATAAAACATCAACCTTTCGATGATCATGTTAGGAGAGTAGATATATTAGATCTGACCTATGTTAAGAAAGATAGAGATATGCCTAAAAAGATTAGAAAGTGTTAAAAATGACCTGTTTTTATTAAATTTAAATGAGAATTTAACTCTTAATAAGACAATGGAGAAAACAAATAATATAGATGAACTTAAATGGTGAGATAAAGGCTTATTGTAGTAGTTGTTGTTGTAGCAGTAGTATTAAGAACCATGAACATCTTTTATACACCATCAAGAGCCTTGAACATCTCTTATATACTTGCATGGAAATCCTGCCTTTGCTCAATACACTAGTCCAATAATTGTCTTGAAATCAAGATAGCATACACGAGCTAACTGATTCTTGGAGAAGATCAACCTCAGATAACTTTGTTCATTTACAAATTTATACATCTCAAGTGTATTATTGCAAGTTTAACTCACTGATGCAATTCCAAAGCCAAAATGGCATGTGCCGTTCCTTATTTTACAGTTTCTTTTGGCATGAAATCAGTTAAGCAATGCATTCGTCAAGGATAAATGCAAATGACAAACTTGTGCGTGAATATAATTTTGAATATAAATGTCAATTTTTTCAATTCAGAAATAAGAACTTGCAAAGTTCTATTAGGAGTTGAACCCAAAGTTGAGAAACAAAAAATATAAACTTTGATGGGCTTCCTCTCATTATTGAATCAAACATCTAAATAATGCATCAAACCTGCATGATGAACTAATAGATTTGTTTTATTAAAGCAAATGTATGTAAGCACTCAAGTGTGTCCAAATGTAGGTATGTTTTTCTATTTTGAGTGTATAAAGATAACAACAGTAGCCACGCAAATGTGGTCATACATATAAAATATTGGTTTATAAATATTGGGATTAAATGCTGTAAAACTCGTTTGAAAATACCAAAATAAAAATAATGCATTTCCATTACATTTTTTGCCAATACAACCAAAAGCACAGACAGAATTTTTTTATCATGCCAAGAGGTGGAATAAAAGAGAAGAAATAACAATACTAGATAAGGCTGTTGTCCCATGGGAAAATTATTAGGTGCGGATACCGGAGAGAGAGAATCATCCGGATTTCTCTCTGTCTACAGTAAAATCCCAATCAAAGCACAGTCAAAGCACAGGTACTGTAGCAGCTGCACTTTGACAGCGATTTTACTGTAGAAAGAAAGAAATCCGGATGATTCTCTCTGTCCGGTGTCCGAATCTAATAATTTTCCATCCCCTTGTGTGTGTTACAATCTGATGTAGGAAATTAACACCATTAGGGTACGCTACACTGATGCAGCAATTAATTCAGGCATAGAAATGCTAAGAGAATAGCAGACAGGTCCATAGGAAAGCATGGATGTAGCAAAGTACCTTTCGTTCATCTTATCTCGGCGCATCTTCTCACGGATAGCCTTCGAACCTTGTCCAACACATGATTCATCACGTTCCCTGGAAGATTTAATTATTAAACGAATTAGAAATTGAAAAAACATCCTGCATCCTACAAACAAGATGAAGCACTTTATTAGGAGATAGCAAAAAGACTCACAATAATAGAGCTATTAATTTATCATGAATGTTGATCCATTTTACTCAAAAAGCAACCAACAGTTTCCTTGTCTGTGTGAACATTTATTCCTTGAAAATGAATGAATTACAATTGTGTTGTCAGTTCCGAACTTGGATGAAAAGAAGTGATGGTTGATGTTAGGTTGACAACCTATCATAATACTCAGATCAAAGATAGTTAAAAGAAATTAAGGCTTCGTTTGGGACAGCTTTCTTACTACTTCTTAAAACAGCTTTTAAGTACCCAAATGAAGTCTAAATTTGAATTTTGCTTGTGCTAGGGCCTTTCTATAAATGAATTGTTACGACCTAACCTGATTCTGGTTAGATGTAGGCAAGGGCCTATAGGGAGGTCACCCTTAAAGTGACGCACTATAACTTAACTTGATTTTGGCTTAAAATGGACAAGAGTGAGCTATGACATCACCCCTAAGTGACCCATCACAACTTAACTTGATTTTGATGAAAAATAATTAAGGGCTGATTATATCTAAATCTACAATTAGATTTATTGCATAAAATTTAGGGACATTGAATAAGAAGATAAGAAAATTGGTGGATAAAATGACTAGAAGAAGAAAAAATATTGTTTATTTAAAGGAAACTAAATAGAAAAGAGAAAAATCAAATAAATTTAGGAATATTATAAGTTATTGTGTATTGCAAAGATTAATAATAGGAATGGAATTAGCATGGTAGTGGATAAAGAGCTAATAAATAAGATTATGAGGTGAATAGTGATATAGGGTGATTGCTATTAAATAATTGTTAGTGAAGATTGTATGAACGTGTTGAATACTTAGGCTTCTCAAATTAGATTCTATGTTGCACCGATACACCCATTTATGAAGGCGTGTTGTACCAGATACACCGATACACGCATACGCCTCCGATACAGCACTGATACGTGTCGGATACGGCTTTGCCGTATCCAATTAAATTACTATTTAATTTCAAAAGGACACGTGTATCTGATACATGTGTCCATTTAAAAAAAAAAAAAAAAAAAAAGACGCTTCGTATTTACTTCCGTGGTAGCGAGCGAGATTCTCTCATTTCCGAGATGAATTTGAGTCTCTTGATGATATGGAAATATTAGAAATTTCTAATTTTTCACTTGATGAGCCTGAATTAAAAGCTATAATATTTATTGAAGATGATATAAAAGTTCAAAGACAAACTACTGAAGAAGCTAATCATATCATTCTTCCTATTAAATAGTTGAAATTTCATGTGCTAGGCAATTTATGTTTTTGCTTTCATTGTTGTACTAGACATTTAATGCTTACTTTTATTTTGATATTATAAGCTAAAATGCTATAAATGATGTTACTTTCATTTTTTTTTTGTAATTTTAAATATTATGCTTTGATTGCTTTCTTAATTTTTATATATAATTTATAAATTATAATGTTGTGTCTGCGCTGTACCCGTATTATGTATTTTTAAGAATTGACGTATCCCGTATCCATATCATGTCGTATCGGTGTCGCCGTATCTATATCGGTGCAACATAGATTAGATTAGAATACTATTTAACAAATCAATTTTAGTAAGAAATGAACTAATACAACTACCAAATGAAGAAATGATAATTTATTAGATTTAGAGGTGATTTAAATGGACATATTTTATCTGGTATGATAGGCTATGAGAGAGCTCATGATGTCTATAAAATAAGAGAGAAATATATTGAGAAAAGTTATACTTAATTTCATAGTAGCTAATAATCTTGCTATAAAAAATAAATACTTAAGAATAAGGAGATATCAAATTACAAATAGATTTTTTTCATACTTAAAAGAAAAGTAAAAATTTCTTATAAAGATTGTTAATGTGATTCCAGGAGAGCTTGACCATACACCATAAACAAGTAGATATGGATGTTATCGTACAGTATAAAGAAAATAATTAATAGAAAATTTTACCTTATGCTAAGGCGGCAAATTTTAAAATGTCAAAAATTGTAAATCCTTCAAGATAGGTTGTTATATAATGCAAATTAGAATTCTTTAGTTGAGTAAATCCTAATGTGAGATCAGATGGCTAATTCCATTAAGGGCATTTTAGATATTTGAAATTTATTTTTGACATGGTTGATCCATGCAAAGAGAAGGAAAATAATATTGATTGACATGATCAAATCCAAGATGGCTCAAGTAAGCTTATCAATTTCTTTTTGGGGAGGTGTTTGCTAACTATAACATATCTTTTAAATTGTGTGACATCTAAAGTTTGTTCAAGCAAATCCATAAGATACATAAATTTGAAGGGGGCTAGAACTAAATAGTTTGTGACCCTAGGCGTCATCACCTTCCTCTTCGACATATATGTGAAAAATTATTTCTAAGATGTTAAAAGGTAAATAATTATTAGAAATTTTGAATGCTTTAAAAGTTATTCCTTCACTAGAGAAGTAGCGGAAGGAACAATCACTAAGGCTTCGTTTGGGACTGCTTTCTTACTGCTTCTTAAAGCAGCTTTTTAGTACAAAATTTAAATTTTTTGTATTAGAAAGTTGCTTTAAGAAGCAATAAGAAAGTTGTCCCAAATGAAACATAAGTTTACTTATCATACAGTTTTCCTAGAAAACAGGTTTCCTAAAAAGGTGTTTTAATAAAGGATGTTTGGTTCTATAAATTCAACCATCGTGTAAATGGCATCTCAATTGATCCAACAAAGATATTGCCACACCTACTAGGGATGGTGGGAATGAAATGACAAAAGAATAAGCTCAAGAGAATCATGATTCAAAAGATCAACAACCTAAGAAAGTGTATGGTAGAGTCCCTAACAAATGTTTCGAAATAAAGGGGGAGGCATTCATAATAACCAAATGATGAAGAACCTAAGACAATCCAAGAAGCTCATATGGTCTAGATTCTTTAAAATGGGCAACATTAATGAAGGAAGAAATGAAGAATATGAAGGTTGGCTAAGTTTGGATTTGGTTGGCATACCTTCTATAGTAAGAAAACCATAGGTAATGTTGAAGGAACAAAGGACCCAATAATACATCAATCTTGGTGGGGATCCTTAAACACATGGATGAAAGACTCCAATTTTTGGATCAATCCTCTAGTCCCTTAGATTGCAATCAACAAACCTCATCATACTATTCTAGTTGGTGGCCCCTCTTAGGTGTTTTGTTTCTTTTTTGTAAATAACATAGATTTATTTCTATGGTAGGCCTTTAAGAGAAATATATAAATACTTTCACATTTGTATATAACCAAGCAATAAAAATTCTAAAAAAAAAATATTTTTCTTAAATTTTCACTTTTCTACATGTTACCAAAGAGAGTTAAAGATATCCATCTTTTAACCTTTTTTTTTTCTTTCTCCTTTCTTATCAAAATTCTACCTTCTAATCATTATGATTTATTTCTTTAATTTCCCATCCAAGGATTCAACCATCGTGAATGATGATAATCAGACTAAAGAAAATCTCTAAGAGATGCAAGCCTTACATCGTCTGAATGGAAGATATTATTTGAAATGGTCACAAAATGTGAAGATTTCTCTGAAAGAAAAAAAGAAAAATCCATCGTATTGTGCATTCTCCTTAAGAGTTGAGAGATCCAAAATTTGTACTTTGGAATGAAGCAGATTCTATGATCATGACATGGGTGTAGAATAGCATGATGCCTGAAATTAAAAAATCATCTCTCCACAGCAGAAAATGTTTGGGACGTCGTTAAACAAATATGCTCAAAGGTAAAGAACCAATATCCTTATCTACAAGATCAAAACAAAAATTTTAACAACCAAGCAAAAATAATCTACTTGTTATTGATTGCTTTAATGCATTGAAAGTTTATTGGCTTGAACTAAATTATTCCTAAAATCACAAGACGACATACTATATAATAAAGTGGAAATTCTCAAGCAATTAGTAAAAAGATAAAGGGTGTTTGAGTTCCTTGCAAGAGTCAATAATGACTTCAACCAAATTTGCATCTAAATTTTAAAATATAAAAGCCTACCATCTGTAAAAGAGGTTTTCTTTTCTACAAACAAGCTGAAGAAGGAAGAAGGATCATAATGCTCGACACTCCGATCTCCAAAACATCTGCCATGACAATCAACAAACTCCAAGATATGGTATTTACTGTTATAGATTCTTTCAATAAAGAAGAGCAAAAGCCTTCTTCTAAAAACAATCTATGGTGGAATTATTGCAAGAATAAAGGAGGCATCAAATAAAATATTGAAACTCCACAGAAAGCCGCCAAGCTATGAAGAAAATAAATATAATAAAAAATAATAAGCCTACCTTGTGAAATCGAAATGTCTCAATCCAAAAGAAATTGACAAATTCAAAAATTTCCTCAACTCTCAAGAAAAATCATTCAGATCATGCTCACTAGCTCAAAAATGATATGACTTCTAATTCTTATATTTTCAGTAACTTGAATAATTCCCCTAATACTTGAATCATAAATTTCAGAGTCATTGACCACATTACCAACCTTGTCAACCTATTCCAAACTTACAAACATTTCCCCAACAATAAAAAAATAAAAATGGCCGATATTTCTCTAACTATTACAACAACAACTACTACTACAACAACATCAAGCATTTATCCCACTATGTGGAGTCGACTATATGAATCATTTTTCTCTAACTATTACCGGTTTAAAAATGGTCCATATTTCTCTAAGTATTGTAGGTTAAGAAAATATTTCAATTTTCTCCACATTTATCTTCAATAATGTACTATATATTTCTCATAGTAAAAAAAATCTTTTATCAATCCATAAAATTACTAAAACCTTAAGTGCTAGGTAAACTTTTATGCTAATCATTATGCATTATAGAACTTTACTATGAAGAAGATGATTAGAAAAGTTAGAGAAAATGATATATTATATTTT